GACATCGGGCGCCCCCCAGCGATTTTTGCTTTCACAGCCTCTTCCTCCACAAGTCAGTTTTTTTCAATGTGATTTCAAGATGGCGTCAAGCGGAGGAGATGGGGAGCACGAATGGACAGCGGCAGTTCGGCCGCTTTTATCAGCTTCATACACCGCTTTTGAAACAAAGGAGCTACCTCAGCTGATTGGCTCTATAATCAACAGGTAACTGGTTACATGTCAGAAAATTGCATGCTCATATTACCACGAAACTACCCCTATCCACCCCGGACATAGCTTACTGGCTAACTCGCTAACACTCGGGCTAGTGAAGTTCGATTGGGAGCTATCGTTAGCAGCTAGGCTTAACTTGCATTAGTTTCTGACTAGCAAAAATGCTAATGCTTACTAACTTACTCAAAATGTCTTTTAGTATGCGCTATCTGGGGAATAATGGGCAGTTCGTAACTAGGCTTGACTTGTATGTGGCGAAGCCTATCGTTTAATGTATCGTTGTTGTAGAATAAGCGTTTAAAGGCGCTGCAGTGAAACGTTTTGAAAATATGCTTCATCATTAGCTACCGAACACAAACATTAGCCTGCAAGCTAACCGCGGGCCCTCAACGCTACATTGCGTTTAAACGGGTTGTTCAGAGAAATAACAGACTACGTCATCTGAAATACACAAGCTATGTATTGAACTTAATAAAATTAGTTTAATTTAGGCATGTCAACTCTGAGTTTAACAATTAACTGGGTGTAAATGTCCAACATCTGCGGTGTGGTTATGTTTTGACTGAAAGAAGGCGGGGATGTCATTTTAGTAGATGATTTTAGTCGTCCTCAAAGCTCTTTTAGTATTTTACTGCTCAGTTTCTGTCAGAGATCACCGCTGAGTGACTGTCATTTGTCGGTGCCCTGCCGTAGCCCATAGCCAGGTCGGTCACCTGATACTCGTGGAGTTTTGACCAGCCAGCGTCGGTTCCCCTGACCAGTCAAGTGAAAAGTTTCCTTTTCCTGAGAAACACGTATTCAACAAATAGCATCACTACTGCCGCAGGAGATAACAGGTTTTCTTAGCAAAACAATACTTTACATTTTTTTTAAATATTCAGCAACAGGGGAAAAATGAAAATATGCTTAAGGCAACATTTTAAATGTTTTTAAATAAGGGTGTCCAATTTTGGTTTTCGAGGTCTGCTATCCTGCAGGTTTTACTTGTTTCCCTGCTCCAACACACCTTATTCAATTTTTGAATTACCTCTTCAAGGTTTACAGAAGCCTGTTATTAACACATTCATTCAAATCAGGTGTGTTGGAGACTGAAACCTTTAAAAACTCCAGGATAGTGAGGATTGGAGACCCCTGCTTTTGACTAGGCTGACATTGTTATGCATGCTGCTTCCTCTGAACTTTGTTGTTTAGACGTGTATATTGTAGGTTTTTGCATTCTGTTTAAAATTTGTTGCGTTTTGCACATCACTGCAAACTACTTTGTAGTAAGTTTGTGTGCGTGTGTGTTTATTTTTTAGGCATTTGGTGACAGCAGCTTTAGTATGTACAACACTATATTGTGTAAATACCCTGTTGTACACATATTTAAAACTGTTATGAATTGTGGTACTCAAGTTGGCGCCTTTTTAGGTGCAGGATTTTTTTCTGAAGTTGGTGGAGCAGCATTTTCTTACTCATCACCATGGTCATGAAATAATCTTCAGCTCACACTAAATCCTAACACGTTTGGGAGAACTCAAAGGTCTTAAAGTCATCTGTATTTTAAGGGTGCAACTGCTATTCTTAATATTTGGTTACATTGTTGATAATAGCAGTTTTTTTTACATGCATATAAAAAAAGTCAACTTCTCAAAACACTTTCTGCAAATTACTGTGAAAGAATAGAGAACGTGGAGTCAGCTTGTTTTTGTAACGCCTGCCTGCTATCTTTATTTAAGATTGTTCAATGGTTTTAATGGGTGGTCAAAAAATATTTCAATCTTCTGGAGAAAGGAAAAGACACGTGCAGAAAAGGAAGCTGATAAAGAGAATAAACTGAACTATAATTCCAAGGATTGCTAATTAAGTAGATCTATATGCTGGACTGAACTTAATGAACTAAATCCTTGTTGGTTGTAAAGTAAAACTGCTTATGTGAGCTACAAAATTAAAATGTTCAAATTAACTTATGAATAGTATTTCTTTGGCTGAGTGTAAAACAACTAATTAAGTTGGTGTTGTAATAAAAAAAGTTTATAAAAATATTTCAAGTTAACGTTTATTAATAGTTCATAATATATTAATAAAATGAGAAATAACTGTAAAACTATTTTTAATGTGCTTTTTAAGTTTTACTGAGCTCCTAAATGTCACTTCAGCATCACACTTTGTTTGTTTATTTATTTATACAGAGACAATGTACAACATTTCATTAACCTTCTACAAGGAAAGATGCATGGTACCAGGTTATAGCAAAGAATGCTAATTTCCACCTGCAGTCTCTGGACAGGTTGATGTAATCAAACATGTTCTAATAAATAATAACAAGCCAATTTAGTAAAAAAAATTACATACATATGTAAAAACATTAAATCAATTACCCAAATATCATTAAAAACAAAAACTACAAACTAAAAAAACATAAAACATTCTCCTTACTTTCATCAGTTATGAGTACAAATCTGCTTATTTAACAGCCATGTTTTTGCCAAATGTGTTGTATACTAAATGCTGAATGTTAGAGGATGTTTAAAAATAAAAGTATGAAAATTACCATTTGTTTAACGTTTCTTTTTTTTCCCTGCAGTGAATCAGACATTCTTCACCACGACAAACAGTATGAGCCTTTCTACTCATCGTTTGTGGCTCTTTCTGCACATTACATCACCACAGTTTGTGGACAAAGTAATTATTATTTTTGGCTATAGATAAATACTTACAGTCAACGTTTAGCTAAAGAGTTAATAGTTGTCTTTCTACCAAGCAGCTGAATATTTTTTTTTGTTTTCTAGTACCAAGAAATCAATTGCTGTCGGTTGCAGCAGCATGTAAGGTATTGATTGAATTCTCACTGCTGCGCCTGGAGAACCCTGATGAAGCATGTGCTGTATCACAGGTGAGATAAACACGCTCCGGGGGGGGAAATGTAATGCTGTCAAACCACATTCAAATGAGACTCCGCTTGCTCTAAGAGCTATGTGGGTCAGCTTTCTTAGTTATATGTTTGCACATTTTAGTTATTAGTGTTTTTTTATATATTTTTTGCTCATGTTTTTGTTTGAAATATTACTATTTGCCCTTGAACTTTGTAATACTGTTTGCTTATTTTACAGAAACACCTGATTCTTCTAATAAAAGGACTTTGCACTGGCTGCAGCAGACTGGATCGCACAGAGATCATTACTTTCACTGCTATGATGAAGTCTGCCAAGTTGCCGCAAACTATCAAGACCCTTTCTGATGGTAATGATCTCTTAACTGATCTTGGAAATTTATCCTGGCTTTTGGAGAGGATTTTGCAAAGATTTTTTTTCTGTGTCTGAGACTTTGCTGTATTTACTACAAGGATCAAATTATAATATAGTTCAAATATGTTCATCCTGGGGATTAAAATTAAAATTGTTTTTGTGGTATTTTTTTTACACAGGAACAAAAATTACAAGGAACTCTTGAGTTCTCTGATTTTTGATCAAATACTGTATATCCTTTGTTTATTTATCAGTGGAAGACCAGAAGGAGTTGCCTAGTACTGTGAACCCTGAGCTTCGACAAAAAGAAGTACAAATGAACTTTTTTAATCAGTTAACTTCTGTTTTCAACCCGGACCTCACCACCATCCTGTCCTCTCCCTCATCAGCTCACCTGCAGGTAAGTGTGATGGGTGAATAATAGTTTAAAGCTAGTCAAATTGTTCAGTATATATTTTTTAAATCAATTCTTTATTTGTAAATGCATTGTCTTCAATCAATCCTAATGCCTTGTCAATGAATTTGTCTGAATTTGTTTGTAAAAACTTATAGGCTGAGAGTGACTGTGATGACCAAACCACAGATCAAGCCCTTCAGGCCAAAATGAAGAATGCTTTTGTCTCTCAGAATGTGTCAAGCTTACAGGAACTTGGTGAGTTTCAAGACCTGTTTGGTTTGTATGTTGATTTCAACTGCAACAATTTGTTGTTTTTCATTATCATATTTAACTGATTAAAGAAACCGTCATTAATGACATCCCATCCCAATTGTCTTTTAGGTGGGTCTGAAAAGCTACTACGAGTGTGCCTCAACCTGCCCTACTTTCTACGTTACATCAACCGCTTCCAAGACGCTGTTTCAGCAAACTCTTTCTTCATAATGCCAGCCACAGTGGCTGATGCCACTGCTGTTCGCAATGGGTATTTATTTATGTGCTAGATTTGTATGAGCTGATGTTAAACTGAATCTTCTTACTTTTGAAGAATGTGTTTTTGTATGTTAGACATTCAAAAATGGGCATTCACATGCTTAATCATACATCTGTTTTTTTTCCTACTTAGATTTCACTCACTGGTAATTGATGTCACCATGGCTCTGGACACACTTTCCTTGCCTGTGCTGGAACCCCTCACACCAGGGAGGCTGCTGGACATGACTGTGCTAGCTCTGAGTTGTCTCTATGCTGGTAGGTGTTGCATCACATGAGGTCAAATGAATTAGGTGATTCAGTAATTTGTCCGGCTGTAAATCAAATAAACAGACAAAGAATTGAATTAAAGCCAGGGAAGTGATATGTGTCCTTCAGCTTAGAATACTTCAGTAGACTGTAAGGCAATACATCCATAAAACAGGTGGTGAAATGTTCTACTCTAATCTTGAACTACTGCTGTTTCACTTATCCAGTCCAAAACAACACGGTCAAAGTTATTGTCTGCATAGTGCTGAAAGCTGAATTGTTGAATCTAAAAATGCTATATATTGATATTTGTTTAGGTGTGAGTGTGGCCACATGCATGGCCATTTTACAGGTTGGTAGTGGCTTGCAGCTTCGCTCTGCCTCCACTGGAACCAAAGAAGAGGACTATGAAAATGATGCTGCCACAATTGTCCAAAAATGTGTGAGTTTAATGAGTATAACATTTGTTAAAACTAAAATGCCTTTTATTTTACCAGATGAATTAGTTAAAAGTGTTATATTTAAACATAGATTCTTGACTTTAAAACTGTGTTTATGTGCATGCACCATGTTTTGTTACATCAAACCATCTTTATGCTATTAGCCTTGGAAACGTTCTTGCACACCATTTAAAAAATGTCTCTCAACAGCTGGAAATCTATGAAATGATTGGACAGGCAATCAGCAACTCTCGAAGAGCTGGAGGAGAGGTGTGTACCATACCAGAATAGCTGAAGGAAAAATGACATTGCAAATAGATTTTTCAGATTTTTTTCCCTCTCTTTCTGTGTTACCTTTGTTTGAAGTTCATTTTGAAAAAAAAAATAATAATAATTTTTGAACAATTGTGTACTTCAGCATTATCAGAACTTCCAGCTGCTTGGAGCCTGGTGCCTCCTAAACAGCCTCTACCTGATTCTTAACTTGAGCCCAACTGCCCTGGCAGACAAAGGGAAAGAGAAGGACCCCCTGGCTGCCCTGCGTGTCAGGGACATTGGAGCTCGCACAAAGGATGGCGCAGGATCACCTAAACTTGGTCCTGGCAAAGGGTAATTCTTAATAATAAACATTATACATAAACTCTATACAATAGTTACTGCAATGACCTTTTTGAAGCTTTTACGTTTCTTCTGTGTCACAATAAATTATTGTATTTAAATTTGCTTACTCTGAATATAATATAAATTCATTATTTAAAGGCACAAGTGTTATACTTCTGCAGTGTAATCAATTATGAGTGATTTGTTCATTGGCTTTCTTTTTCTTTATTCTCCAGACATCAAGGATTTGGAATTTTGTCTGTCATTCTGGCCAATCATGCCATCAAACTTCTGACTTCACTTTTCCAGGATTTGCAAGTAGAGGCTCTACATCGGGTAAGTAAATTATCTAAACCTTCATTTACCAATACAACATACATTTTATCAGTTTTTTTTATGCAGTACCTGCCTGTTGTACATGAAAATTGATTTCTGCCTTCATTCATAAATGCAGATTAATTGCAGAAAAATAGACAGAACTTTATTTCAGACACAAGGTCCAACAGGATAGCAAACCTGTATATTTACAATCATCAAAAATAAAATAAAAATTACATAAAATTCACTATAAAATATACAAATAAATAGTTTATTATTGTGATTAAAACATGCAAAATTAACATTTTTAGTTATCAAATTGTCTTCAGTTAGTGGATTGCTAAATATAGTTGCAGCAACAATAGTATTATTTATATCTGTTTGAGCTGCTGGGAACAGCCACGTTGAAGCAGTGACTACTTAAACTGCACCTACACCTGGGGCAGTAGTTCTTGGAAAAGAAAAGTTTAGTTTCTTTGTATTTATAACTTTAGTAAACCCACAGCAATCCATTGATTGGATGAACAGCACAATAGGAATATAAAAAATATATTTAATTATGAGAACCTTGCCTTCAAAGGTGTTATTGTTTTATCGAAGGTGCTTTACTATAACGTATAGCAGCAGTACACCGGGCTGTTATTTCTGGTTGTGCGTTTGAGTTGTGTAATACTTATTCTGCTTTAGTTACATTTAAACACCTCGTTCTGTTTGACGTCTCAGTTATTTTGACAGACTGCTTGCCGTGTTTTTCTTCCCTCCCTACAAAAAAAGCAGACATACAAGTTTACAGACCAGATGAACTAGCTTTTATATAGTTGAGATTTGATTTACAAAAACATTCAGTGTGAGATGGTGTATCTAAAAAGAGAACTCTAAATGTCACTTTTGTTCACTTCTCCCCATCACCACCTTATCTGCAGGGTTGGGCAAGTGATGGGCCACCAGCTGAGCTCAACATCATGGCACAAAGCACTTCGATCCAGAGGGTTCAAAGACTCATCGACTCTGTGCCCCTGACAAATCTACTTTTCACGCTTCTCTCCACCGCCTACAAAAAGGTGCATATACTTGTATTGTTTCGAAACAAACAGTTTTCTAATAATTTATTGTCAATTTTGACTTAACAGAAAAAGTGACCAGCTAAATTAATATTTAAAACAAGAAAAAGGACATGCCGCAGTTTTTCTCTCTACATTTGGTGCATATTAAGACAAAAAAGACTGAAGCATTTTGAGAGGGTTATAAAAAACACTTTTAAGATTGTTTTTCTCTTTGCTTCCAATTAGGCTTGTGTTCTCCAGCGCCAAAGAAAGGGCTCAGTCAGCAGTGACGCAAGTGCTTCTACAGATTCAAACACCTACTATGAGGATGATTTCAGCAGTACGGAGGAGGATAGCAGCCAAGGTACTTCATCTTTTTGTATTCAAGCCATACGTCAATGCTTAATTTAGTGTTTTGTTTTGTTTTTTAGTTTAACTCCAGTGTCAAATAAAATGTTTTGTACTTTGGTTGAGTTCTGAATTTATAGAATTAATTTGTGTTTAACTACCATGACTTTATGCTTTATGAATTTTCTGTCAGTTGAATTGACAGACATCTTGTTCCTAATGAACTATAAAATAAAAGTCTGGTCAACTAACAGCAAGTGTAATACAGATCTTACAAATTAATGAATGAGTTGACCACCAGAGACTAACCAGTCTTGTGGAATGCTGACAAGCTAAGCAACTGATTACTGTCCTCAACATTATCTATAGTGGTGATGAAAAACAGTCACGTTTGTTTTTAGTATTTGATGTAGTGTTAGGTTAGAGCTATGTGCTTGAGTAAAGCATCAGCCAGGTAAAAACAGCAGTAAATAGTAAACTAATTAATACGCACACATGTCAATAATCTCATTTTGTCCTGGTTACATAATGACAGTGTAGTTGACAGTGTTTACTATCTCAGCAGAGAGAAGAGAGGAGAAGACAAATGCTGCTTGTGTCTCAGGTCAGCAGTTTTCTGTCCTCAGGTCAAAGACTCAGTGTCCACTTTGCTGTCTCAGATTTGTTGTATTTTATTTTATATATATGTCACACAAATTAGACTCTAAGTAATAGGCTGGGGGGATCAAGCCAGAGATGAACAGGTCGCACCAAAACAAGTTGCTTCTCTGTGTAATAAATGTGAAGTAATTACATTGTGTCAGGTTCATCTGTGGCTCTTTGTCTCAAAGGATCAAACCAGTGCTTTGATGTGTGGGTGTTTTATTTTAGTACTGCAGCATTTTTATTGCAGCTGAAAAAATAACTTCAGTTTTAATTTGCAGTTTTTTAAAAACATTGTTCAGGAACTACCTTTTTTGAAAACTCTGCTTGTAGACTTACTTTAATTTTGGTGTAGCCTAGTAAGTTATTTAAAGTAATTTCAGGATATAACAATTCAAATCTGCAGATTATACTAGTCTAATAATGAACTTGATTTTAGTTGATATTTATGCGCTTGTAGCATATTAAACAATATTGTATTTTTGAAGGTATATACTCTGTGGGCTAGTGTCTTTAACTTGCTTTAATGCAAGCTTTGTCTTCTTACATTCAGATCTGTAGGAGTTACTTTTAACATAATGTTCGACCCACATCAAAATATTGGTATTTTTCTTAAACACAATGATTTCAACTTGTATTTAAAAGGCTTTAAACACTCTACACTTAATCTTGCTATCACCTAAAACGTTTTGATTTTTGTATGTTGCATGCAGATGTGAAGAAGAGCTGAATGTGATGTTCTTTCAAAACATGAAACTTGGTTGTGTTTTTGTGTTTGAAAATGATCTCACCGTGGTCAGGAAGCTTCACCTACAAACCGGTTTGAGTGGTTTATGTGTTGTGGAGGGATAGACACATGAAAGATTCTAAAAGACAAATTTTTAAGTGTAAAAACTGAGCCCCCCCAGATTAAACGTGTTTCTTTGTTTTTGTCCTGGTTGTTCTGAGGTAAAGACATACTGTAAAATGTTTGCAGGATTCAGGGAGTCAAATAGCAGAATGATCTTGCATTAAAGCCTCTCCCAACTGGAATATGGTGACATTTTTCTTTTACGAAGTGAACTGTTTCTATTATATTGTCTTCTTGTCAGCTTTCCCTATAGTTCTCTTGAAGATTTTTTTTTTCAACAAACTGGGGAATATTGCCCCTAATCCATTGAATTTTATTGGCAGCTTTAATCTAGTTAATAAAAACGCGAAGAGAGCCTTTGAGGATAATTGTTTTTATTGTTTTTGGCATTTCACAGTGGGTGCAGACGTTAGTGGCAGCGTTCATCTTTGTAAAACACTTAATGTTAATTAAATCAAATTTTTGTTTCTTTGCTCACAAGAGTGAGCTGAGGTCAAGCACAAAGAAACCTTTTAGTCTTTTAGTATTTGTTTGTTTTTATACTCATTGCTGATTGAAAGAAAATACAGCCTGGGCTCATTTAACGTTTTTTTTTCTAGTTTCATTGTCATTATATGGCTACAATTTCATGTAATAATTCAGCTTTAATACAGTTTAAAAGCAAATCCAGTTGCCGACAGTTAGATTTGTGGTCATTAACCGTACTCCATTAAAAGTTGACACATTTCAAAAAGGTTTTAGATGTTTATTTACCAGGAAAATAAGACCTCTTGATTTTAAAATCTTTTAGAATACTGCGACTGCTGTTTGCCACTACAAACAGCAGTCGAATTGTAACGAATTTCTTATCATTTAAAATAATTTGTTTTGTTGATGTAATTAGTTTAGCTGTGGGTTGTTTGGGTAAAAAATAAAATTCTTGGCACTTTTCTTCCCAGCAACAATGCTGCATTAATACAGCAGTCATGTGTTCTCATTTTAGTCAGTTGGAGAATAACACGTTGTGTTTGTTGCATCAAGTGTGAATCCGGTCCTAGCGTTGTTTGTCTCATTGTTGCCTGTACCACAAAAGCATGTATGAGAATGTGCACACTCAGAACCAGCTATGAGTAGAGTTGTGCATGCCAAAACACTCATGTTGTTGATGGGGTTTATTGAGCAAAACTAATTGTAGGTCATTCCTACTTAGTTTTTTTTATTGCACTTTATAGAATACTCAAATCAGACTTTCTTGAGTTGAAAATCAGGGAGTTTAATGAGTTTGCAAAATGTTTTAGTGAACATTATTTTTAAGGTTATTTTATAGAAGGAAAAAAGAGTAGTATATAAATATTTGTAATTATTTTTGAATTTCCAGAAACTTAGCGTTTTACCTTTTTTACTGTAAGAGAATTAAAAAAATACAAAAAACATCCGTATTTTCCTTAACTCTGAGACAGAAATAATTTGTAAGAAATGTTTTAAGGAATTCAGCCCTTTTTTTTAGTATTTATTTATTTATTTATTGTAGTTTTTTTTTTTTTTAGTTCTTGTCTTCTGCCTGTATTGTGTTAAAGGTCATGATGTTATGAATTAGTAAGACCACTACTAATACACAAATCCTCATTAGTTTTCGGAACTTTTCTTGGTTCCACTCTTGAATTATTGTATTTTCTTTGCAGATGATGATAGTGAACCCATCTTGGGACTGTGGTTTGAGGAGACAATTTCACCGACCAAAGATAAAGTGGCTCCACCACCTCCTCCACCTCCCCCACCCCTGGAGACTTCTCCCAGACTCAAGAGCCCTAGCAAACAGAATCCAAGTGAGAATGGCAACATTTTAGCGGGCCGTAAGGATCCAGAGCTGGTAAATACTTTAAAATGCTATTTTTATGTCCCAGACAGCTTCTAAAAGGTGTTTATTTGTTATTATTTTTTCTTTAATGTGGTACTCAATCATCTCCTGTTATTGAAGTTCCTCAGTTTGGCCTCCAGCATTTTGAACTTCATCACCACTTCAATGCTGAAGTCCAGGAACAACTTCATCCGGAACTACCTGAGTGTGTCTCTCACAGAGCAACACATGGCCACACTCGCCAGCATCATTAAAGACGTGGACAAAGATGTCAAAGGTTTGCTTTCCACTATTTAAACAAATATCCAAATAAATTCTTTTTTCATAGTTTTATATACTATAACAGTTTGTATCATTTTTCTTGCAGGTTCATCAGATGAAGCGTTTTCTTTAGCTCTGTACCACTTCAACCACACCCTCGTCACCTCAGATCTTCCATCTCCGGTCTTGCAGGTAGGGGGACGGTTTTGTTTTATTCCAAGCTCTGACCACTAATTCCTCCATTAAACCCTAATAGACTTTATTAGGTGATTAACCAGCGTTTTTGTTTTTGTGTCTTGCCAACTGCAGAACACTCTTCTACAACAATTAGGGGTTGCTCCATTTTCAGAAGGTCCCTGGCCCCTCTACATTCATCCTCAGTCGTTATCCGTCCTCTCCAGACTTCTTCTGATTTGGCAACACAAAGCCAGTGTGCAGGGAGAACCAGATGTGCCTGAGTGTATGAAAGTCTGGGAAAGGTAATTCTATAATTTTATTATTTTTTTCATCTGGCCATGGACCATCTGAATTGATGTAAACATCATAGCTTTTTCTCGTTAGATGAGAATGCACAATTCTTTACAAAGAGTTAGTTATGTACATAATAAGCAGTGAAGCATAACCAATGCAGGTTAATTTATTAACTTGCTTAACTACAAGTTTGGATGTATTCACCAATGTTTGTTCTGCTAACTAAAAATAAATTATTTAGCTTTCTGCAATCATGATCTTTGAGTCTATTCAAGTCTATCTGCACTAAAAGTTTGTCACACACTCATTTAGTTTAAAAACTCCTAATTAACTAAACTAATTCTAAGTCAGGAGTTTACTGTCCGTTATAAAAGATTAAGTAAGGAAACAATTTTTATATTATAATATTCTGAAATTGCAAGTCAGCTTTAAAACATCAGTTGGTACTAAATGCCACATTACATATTGAATACTTGATATATTGTTGGACAAATTTTACTTATTAAAAAAAAAACAATGTTTATATTGACAAAGTTAATCAGTGTTTGTGAAACCATACCTGAGGTGTGCTTTAACTTAGACCTAAGCAGATTTCTCCTAATTTACTTTAATTTGATGTCTTGTTTATGCTATATTTTACTATCCCATCCCCCAGATTTTTAGGAACCTTGAAGCAACACACTCTCCAGGGTTCTCTTCATGGAGATGATGACCTGAACGTGGAACACCTCCAGCTGCTGTTGCTTCTTTTCCACAATCTGTCGGAATGTGGCCGACGATCAGTGCTCACCATGCTCACTCAGGCCATTACTGAAGTGGCACAGAGCAGAGACTCCCAGCTGAAGTCTGTACCCCTCAACATGGCCCGCTTGTTGCTGGTCTTTGACTACTTGCTGCGTCACTACTCCAAGGCTCCCCTGTACCTCTTTGAACAGGTTCATTCTTGTTTTGAAGCAGTTATCTCTTCATATTTGTAATTAGTAATAAAACAACAGTTTTAAACTGTTATTTTATATTTGATACTGTTGTAAAATAACATTAAATCATTTTAAAATAATGATTACAGGTGCAGTACAATCTTCTAACACCACCGTCTTCTGGGCCGAGTTCTGCTCAAGACGGTGGCAAGCGCAGCGGTCTGCCCCTTTACTATGGATTTAAAGAGGTGGAGGAGAACTGGGCTAAACACTGTTCAGCAGGTAAACACAATAAACTGTGTTTCTTCATGTCTTTTGTTGTCATTTTGAAATTTGATGTGGATTTTAGTAAATTACAAATAACAAATAACGTCTTTAATCATTTTTTACTTCTTTTAAAGATAAAAATGCCCAGCCCAAATTCTATTGTGTGCTGTCTCCTGAGACATCTGAGGATGACATCAACAGACTAGACAGCAAGGTGAAAGTCGAACCATTTGATTTTGGTTCATTCATGCCTTACGTTAACATTTTAATGTCTATACAAACAATATTTACTTCTACATAATGTATTTATGTTTTGAAATCTTCTGGAAGGTTTTCTCAAAGCTGGGTAATGGTGGAGTTAAATACGACGAGCTGTATGCTTGGCTCATCTCACTCCTGGAAGCTGGCTCAGAGTTTGACACATCCAGAAGACAAGAGAATAAACCTATCACTCCTATGGTAATAGACTCAGCATACTAGTTAGTACACACTACAAAAACAAATAGTTGTTTTTCTGGGTGGATGATCTCCTGAAGCAGTCTGCCTGAGCTGTTATGTAACAGTCACCTGAAAGACTTCATGCTTGCTGCAGCTGCATCATTTATTTATGGTTAAAATTGTTTAATTTTGAACTGCAAATAGACTTTTACTAGATAGGTAATGTGTTTGTTTTTCTCCAGTAAAAACTTCTTCTGGTGCTTGAATAGTTTAGTACTTCTTTTTTCATAGTTTATGTCACTACACAGGAGGCCTGCTCCCTTCAGTACTACTTTCTGGTACTGTGGAGAATCCTGGGTGTGTTGCCACTCTCAAAAGCTTTCATGGAGCAGCTAAAGACTGGTTGCAGCGACCCCAGTGAAAGTGACATCTTGCATACCCTGCGATGGTCCTCACGTCTGCGGGTGTCTACATACGTCAACTGGATAAAGGTCTGTTGAAGCTGCTACTTCAACAAAGTACTACGATCTATTAGCAGAACAAACACATGCCATTTATTTATTTTTTGCTAATGAGACGAATATATTTGACTTTTGTACTTGGCCACTCATTTGAATTTTCTAATTTAGAGGCTGAAACTGGATGTTTTGTTTGTATGAAGCAGACTTTTCTATAACTGCTTAATTTAACATGTATACAACTCTATTAATCCTTTGACATGGTTTGTTTTTGATGTATGATGTCAGGAACATTTGGTGAAGCAAGGACTGAAAGCAGACCAAGCTGCCTCACTTGTTGAGGCAACAGCTGCCAAATGCAGCACTCTGAAGTATGATGTGGAGCTAGCAGAGGAGTACATTGCCAGACAGGTACTGATCACAGTACAGAGCAGTCGTCATTTAAGTTTGTAGTTGTTATCGAAGCAAGATTTTGAACCTAATTTTTGTCGTTGAATAACCTAATTGTTTTTCAGATTTCCACCTTTTCAACTGTGGATCCAAATGTCGTCCTTCCACTTCATCAGCTGCCTTCTCTTCAAGCTATTTATACTCTGGATGCAGTCCTCTCTAAAGTACAAGTTTCTTTAGATGAGCATTTGTCCAAGGTTGCAATTGAGGCTGACACCCACAAATCATCTGATATTGCTAAAAATCTGCTGCCTGCCACACTGCAGCTCACTGACATTTACACAGCCTTCACAAGGTGAGAAAGAGCCGTGTTAAGATTTTTTCTTTTACTTTGGCAGATAAAATTTTTCCTTATATTAAATCTTTTTAATCTCTGCAGCCATACCATCTGCATTCATGTAATTCAGATACAATATGTGCACCAGAGATGGGGTTTTTTCTGTAAATTTTGCTTCAAAGCTAAAACAATTTCAAAGAGCAATAATAATCAATAGATATACAGTATATTTATAGTATGTTCTGATAACTCTTTTTAACCATCGGTTCTCTCTGTAAAGCTTTACTGTTGTTCAGATCAGGTGACAGTGGAAGAAAGTGCCACAGTGTCCTGTATTATTTATTTAAAGTTCTTTAATTTGGCAACTTTATAAAGAAAAGTTGCGACATGGCAGATGCAGTTTCAGAACATCCAACCCCAAGTGATGTTCAGAAAATGAAGATTTTTCATATATTATTGCAACTTAGCCTGATCTCACCTTGAAACCAAACTTGTCTTTTACAGATCTTACCTCCTAATGAACATCCCAGAAGAAGGAGAAAACAAATTGACTGATGCGAAGCTCCAAGGTTATGCTGCAGTTTTGTCCATTGGTTCAACCCGTTGCAAAGCCAACTTGCTGGGTAAATTGAGAAGCTATTAAAAATAAAAGCTAATCGATACATTTGTTTTGACAGCTTTTGTGTAAAATCTGTTCAGTCTCAACTTTCAACTCAAACTTCACAGGTCATAGTTTAATGCAGAACTTACCATCAGCTGTACAGACAACATGTGAGACTTGGAACAGCATTCACACCAATGAATTTCCCAACATCGGCTCATGGGTACGTGACTGAACTCATTACTTGGTTTGACTCAGTTCTTTGTTGTAAAGATGTTATTTGTAATATTGTTTGAGCTCCTGCTCTTATATTTAGTCACATTTTGCCAAATAATTTTGCACAACTTTTATAAACACAGGTTTGCTTGCACAGCAGCAGAAGCTAATAGTACTGGTTGACAATTAGCAATGTTGAGTAATCTGAGCATTGTCAGGTATTTCTTTCATGTCCAAACAAGTGAGTTTGTGAAATTAATTTGGCTGAAATAAATGAGAAAATGCACACATTTTCATGACCCAGAATAGTTGTGATAATTATCACAATTTATTTCTAATTATAAATACAAACTGCTCGTGGAAGACAGAAATTCTGAAAGTCTATCTCACCTTTTTGTTTCCAGCGAAATGCATTTGCCAATGATACCATACCATCAGAGAGCTACATCAGTGCCATCCAAGCAGCTCATCTGGGCACACTGAGTTGTCAGTCCCTGCCTCTGTCCTCTTCTCTTAAACACATCCTCCTCTCCTTGGTTCGCCTCACAGGCGACCTAATTGTGTAAGTGCTTATTTATTTTTGATTAAAATCCAAACAACTTGAGGGGATGTATTTGAACTGTTCTGTCTCCAGTTAATATTATTACATGTTTGTGTCTTCAGTACAGAGGAGTTGAACCCGTCTCAGGTCGTGAGCAGTCTGCTGCCTCTGCTCCTGGAGGCGAGCACAGAATGTGTAGCAGAAATCAGCAGCACCTCGCTGGAGCGCATCCTTGGCCCGTCAGAGTCTGATGCCTTCCTAGCCCGCATTTATGAGCGCTTGGTGACCGGATGTTACAACATCATTGCTAATCATTCTGACCCACAAAGGTATGCTTTGTGCAGTGGGATTCATTAAACAATCTAGTAACAATCAGTTAAAACGTTTATGTTGTGTAAAACTGGTGGGTCGAGCTATACCCTCATGAAATAATTCTCTCTTTAACAGTGCTTTTTAGTCTTTTTTTTTCTGTTTTTATTTCCTTTGTTTTCTAGCTTATGTAATAAATTGTGGTTGTTGCTTTCATAATGTCCTGTCTTATGTTGTAGTGGTCTGGATGAGTCCATTCTTGAGGAATGCCTTCAGTACCTTGAAAAACAACTTGAGAGCAGTCAGGTCCGAAAGGCAATGGAAGAGTTCTTCTCATTCAGGTATTCATTTAACTTGCATCACTTGTATCATTAGTTTGTTTTATATACATAACTGCGTTGCATGTATATTTTTCCCCCCAGTGGCGAGCTTGTCCAAATTATGATGGCGACGGCCAATGAAAACCTGTCAGCAAAGTTCTGCAACAGGGTGCTGAAATTCTTCACAAAGCTTTTCCAGCTCAGTAAGTTTATTATTGTTGTTGATTCAAAACAATTGGCAGGTATCTGGATGCAGAGCTGTGCTAGTTTGAGCAAAATTTTGTATGGTCACATGAACAGTAAACGTATAAATAAATTTTCTGTTTGAATGGATTGAGGGTAGAGAAAAAGTGCTCGGTCGCAAAGAAAGGTGCTAAGAATAACAGTAGAATGCAAATATGATATTTAAGATATTTATGATATCTGTAAGCCAGATATACAGTAGAAATTTTTTTTATTGATCTGACGGTGATCTTGTCATTTCCAGCGGAGAAGAGTCCCAACCCAAGCCTGTTGTGTTTGTGTGGCTCCTTGGCTCAACTGGCCTGTGTGGAGCCATCTCGCCTGCAGTTATGGCTGACACGAATGACAGCTACCCCACCAAAGGACTCAGAGCAGCTGGAGATTGTGCAAGAAAATAGACAGCTCCTTCAGCTGCTTACCACTTATATTGTGCGTGACAATAGTCAGGTGGGCGAAGGAGTTTGCACTGTCCTCCTCAGCACACTTATTCCCATGGCAACAGACATGTTGGCCAACGGGGATGGGACGGGCTTCCCTGAGCTCATGGTCATCATGGCCACCCTCGCCAGCGCCGGACAGGGAGCTGGCCACTTGCAGCTTCACAGGGCAGCTATTGACTGGCTGACCAGATGGTAAGAAACCAGTTTTATAAACATAGTGTTGCAAAAAGAATTGTTTTATTAAAACACTGCTTGCTAATAACATCTGAGTAATATTTTAGTGATGTAATAACTAAAATCTTCTAAACAGATGTTAGAATTCTAATGAACAAATAATATTTTTCTTCTTCAGTAAAAAGTATTTAACACAGAAGAATGTTGTGGAGAAAGTGAGCACAAACTTGTCCCATGGAAAGGTATTTTTTTATTTCTGTTTAACAGCACAGAACCAAACATTTACTTTGACTTGTAATTTTCAGCAGCTCCTGTGTGGTTTCAGATGAACATACCTACCATAACATAATTGAAATGCACTTCTTTTTTCTTTTAGCATACCAGTATGCTGGAGTGCTCATGCCACATAATCTCCTATTTGGCTGATGTGATGAATGCTCTGCGGCAAAGCAGTGGCCAGGGCACCTCAGCCCTGCTGGTGGAGGGAGAGGAGAAGACCATGGAAGTGGACTCGGACTGGGTGGAGGAGCTTGCAGTAGAGGATGATGATTCCCAGGCAGAGGACTCTGTAAGATATCCACCTTTACCTCCTGTTTTGTGAAATGCATCAACATAACACATTTTCATCATGTTGTTGACCAGGATGAAGACTCCCTTTGCAACAAACTGTGCACCTTTATAATTACCCAGAAAGAATTCATGAATCAGCACTGGTAAATAAAAAGCTTGTTTCTAATGAGTTTTTATTTTTATTTTAAATCACCCATTTCTATCACAATTTACAAAGATTTCTGTAAATATTTTCAGTACAAGGTAAAATACACTTGACACACAAATAAGCAGTTGGCTCATATACATATGCTGTAAATTTATTACATCAGTCAGAAAAGTTATAATTTAACAGAGTTTGTGCAAACTGTTAAAAAAAACCTTTTATATGAATTTTAAATATAATTTCATTCTTCCTACACACATGAACTTGACAGGTAGTGTTTTCTTTCTTTTTATTTTTTTTCTTCATTCTTTAGGTACCACTGTCACACCTGTAAAATGGTGGATGGGGTAGGTGTGTGCACAGTGTGCGCCAAGGTCTGTCACAAAGACCATGAGATCTCCTATGCCAAGTATGGCTCTTTCTTCTGTGACTGCGGTGCCAAAGAGGATGGCAGCTGCCAGGTGAGACCGAATGCCTCAGGTCATCATGGGAAGAGAACAACAGCGGTAACTCCGGTTTGCAAGTCATTCCCCCATTGACTTCCATCCACCCATTTCATTTGATCAGGATTATAGCTAGCCCACATGTGTGGCCAGAAACGAAAAATGTTATGAATGCCTCTGTTTGTTTTCTTGTGCATAATGAAAAGGCCACTGTTCCCTAGTTAATATTAAACTATTGGATTTTTTTATGTGCATGTGAAAAACAAATCATCTCCTACATTTTTTTGTTCTGTTCACCATTTGATAAGAAGTATCTTAGAGCTTCAGTTTTCCTTTGTTTGTGACTGTAGCGTCTATTTTTGTGACATAGTGGTTTTTGTAGCTTTGTACACTTATGTGAAAGTATTTTATTTATTTCAGTTTTGCAGTTGTTTACACACTCAGCTGAGTTGAAAGAGTGCAATGTAAAAGTAAATAATAATAGCATGCAGAAATTTATTTTTATCAATCCTGTGAGTTTTGTTAGTTTTTAAAGGTTTAGATAAAATTTGTAGCAATCAACATTTCACTGAATATTCTTTGACTTTTGTGTATATAATATACATTAGCTGCAAAATAACAATGGATTTTGAATGTTCTTTTTGTAAAAATGTCAAGTTTAAGTCTCTTTTAAAAAACTTTATACACTACCAGTCAAAAGTTTTGTACCAGAGACCAGTTTTTTGAACAATACTGTACACACGAGTGAGTTGATTGTTTTCACTGTTTTGTCACATCCTCTACAGGCTTTGGTCAAACGTAGCCCTAGCAGCGGTATGAGTTCCACTCTCAAAGAAACCTCAGCCTTCCAGAGTGAACTGCGAATGCCGGAAAGCGCTATCCGACACCAGAATGCCTCTCCCTCTGACAAGGGCAAGGTTACTATTTGCGATGGCAAATCCAGTGATGAAGAGAAACCCAAGAAGAGCAGTGTGTGCAAGAGCATTGAGGGCTGTCAGCAGGAGTTGCTAACACAAGTGGTTAGAAAGAATATTTTTATCTCTCTTAGATTTCTTTTTTGGGGGCCATTTCTCATGCTTAGTGTGTCTTTAAACTGCTCTGTATTTTGTGTGACCTGTGCTTTTGGCTCTTTTTTTTCATGGTAGACGGAATCATCCACTGCTGCAGCCATTCTCGAGATGCTCATGTTTCTCATGGAAGCAATCCAGACTAACTTTCAACAAGCATCAGCAGTAGGCAGCAGCAGCCGGGCCCAGAAAGCCTTGAATGAACTGCACACTCAGGACAAAAACGTTGAAATGACAGACCAGTTAATGGTACGTTGAGCTGCAGCCGATTAGGGAAAACCAGTTCATTATTTAATAATGTATTGAAATCTGAACTGAATCGGTTTCTCAATTTTAAAAAAAAATGCAGCAGAACAATGTTAAATGTTGCTTTTTTTTGTCTAAGGTGCCCACACTTGGCTCTCAAGAAGGAGCTTTTGAGAATGTGAGGATGAATTATAGTGGTGACCAAGGCCAAACTATTCGTCAGCTCATCAGTGCACATGTCCTGCGGCGCGTTGCCATGTGTGTTCTTTCCTCACCTCACGGTCGTCGTCAACATCTTGCAGTTAGTCACGAGAAGGGAAAGGTGAGCCGAATCTCTAAACTCCTAAAACAAATGTGTGAGCTCCCCTTAAACCCTCTGAGTTTGTATAAAAGACAATTAAGCTTTCTTGTTTCCTTAAAACAACTTTAAACATGTTAAGTGAACTTCATAAACACTGTCTGATCTTCTTAGGACAATCTATAAATAAATAGAAAAAAATATATTAAAAAATAAAGCTTACTGCTTTCCAGCCAGTAAAATCATGAAAAAATAAAGTGCAAAAAACAAAAAGAGAATAAACATCTGCGTTAACCAACTTATTTTCTAGAAAAATCAAACTCAAGCTGCTAGATTACATCATAACCTAATATGTTTGCCAGTAATTGTGATCTGATCTATAGGAGAGATAAAGAGAAAACAAGTGAAGAAAAACACTAAATATGTTTAAAACATTAAAATTAATCTTAATGAAATAATATTATTTTATGACTTTATTGCTTAGATCCACATTACAAAAATTAAATTAGTGATAATCTTAAATTTAACCTGCAGATTGTTAGATATCACGAGGCACAGGGAGGATGAGGTGAAGCTGATCTGTGAGTCAAACCCAGCTGGGTCCAGAGATTTATTTTACAGAGACAGTACCAGAGAAAAAAAACATTACAGTAAATATTATATCCCACTTTGTAAACCAGGTAGGGGCAGTGGCAGCTTTGTGCATGCAAAATTAATTTGCAGCGGACTCCTCTCAGCTGACAGCAGCCGTGTGTGTGTGTGTGTGTGTGTGTGTGTGTGTGTGTGTGNAATACAAGCAATTTGTTTTACCACCTTAAAACGAAGCAGGTGATTGAATAGCAGTAATGCAGCTGACTGCAAGTTCCAAACGCAACATGCAATGGATGCAGACATCCATTATATTCAAGTTATTGTGTGTGTGTGTGTGTGTGTGTGTGTGTGTGTGTGTGTGTGTGTGTGTGTGCGTGTGCGTGCGTGCGTGTGTGTGTGCTTGTGTTTTGATTTAACCAGGTAGGTCTCCCTTAAAATGAGATTTTTAAAGAAGAATTTAAAATTTCCCTTAAAGGAGATTTTAGAGTTAAAACGTTTTTTTACTTAACTCAGATCTGAAAGGCTGCTTCAGTTTTCACTACAGTTTGTGGAGTTTCAGGCTGGTCTGAAACTCTTGTTGTTGTTTGAAACAAATTTGTCATATTTTCTTCTACAAAATGACACTGTTGAATGAACAGGTGGGTTGCATTTTGGGTTCCAGGCAAAACGTTCTTCTTGGAACAGGAACTGAAATATGAGTAGGATGTGAAATTGACCTGTTTAACTGTCAGATTAAACTTCTGCAAAAAAAAGTCTGCCTGTTGAACAAAAAAAAGTAATGTCCATCTCTGCAAGTTAATGTGCATACTATTTTCATTCAACGTTTTGCATTATTTTCACTAAAAATGCACCATTCCCCTCCATCTTCTGTCTGCCTGGTAGATAACAGTTCTGCAGTTGTCCACTCTTCTGAAGCAAGCTGACTCCAGCAAAAGGAAACTAACACTGACCCGACTGGCCTCTGCCCCAGTTCCTTTCACTGTCCTCAGCCTCACAGGCAACCCCTGCAATGAAGATTATCTTGCTGTTTGTGGCTTAAAGGTCAGACAACTGGTCTTTTAAACCTGAGATTTCTAATTAATAGATTTTTTTTTCTTTCAAATAAAAACAAAGAAAATAAATTATTTAAAGCGTGTTTCCTTTTGGAAATTTTCTTTATTATTATTATTATTTAATCTTCTCAGGACTGTCACGTACTGACTTTCAGCAGTACAGGCTCTGTCTCAGACCATCTTGTGTTACATCCACAACTGGCCACAGGGAATTTCATCATCAAAGCAATCTGGCTGCCAGGCTCTCAGACTGAACTTGCTATAATCACAGCTGACTTTGTCAAGGTATTAATAGAATAATTTTACTGAACATTATTGCAACAATATTTGTGGAACTGTGTGTAGTTACACAATTTGGACAGGAAATGTGTGTAATTTTTTATTTTATTCATTTTGTTTTTCTATTCAACAGATCTATGACTTGTCAGTGGATGCCCTGAGTCCCATGTACTACTTCCTGCTTCCCAGTTCCAAGATTCGAGATGCTACATTCCTTTTCAATGAAGAGGGAAAAAACATTATTGCAATCATGTCCTCAGCAGGTTACATGTACACTCAGATAATGGATGAAACTAGCAGAGCCCAACATGGTCCTTTTTATGTCACAAATGTATTGGAAATAACCCATGAGGACTTGAAGGTAAGTTGTGCTTATGCTACAAATACGCTTCTTCAGAAATGTGATGTACAAAATATTCCACTAAATCACATTCATAAATATTTAATGCTGACATTTTTGAACTGCAGAAAGTGGTTTTGAGATTTTTATTTATTTATTTATTTATTTATTTATTGTGATTACAGGATAGCAACGGTCAGGTTGCTGGTGGCGGTGTGTCTGTTTATTACTCCCATGTCCTTCAGATGCTTTTCTTTAGCTACAGCCAAGGAAAGTCTTTTGCTGCCACAGTCAGCCGCAGCACAACCGAAGTGCAGAGGCTCTTTCCCATCAACATCAAAGGGTAACATTTCTCCCGAACCACATATTAGTTTTGGATTTCCTTGCCATGAGAATATAAACAGTAACTGAAAAAAAATGTTATCCTTACTTTTTTTCCCTTTTTAGTTCTAATGGTGGTAGCAGTAAGTTGTCGCCTGCTCTATGCCAGTGGTCTGAGGTCATGAACCATCCGGGTCTGGTGTGTTGTGTGCAACAGACAACTGGCATACCACTGGTAATCATGGTTAAACCTGATACCCTCCTCATTCAGGAGATTAAAACACTGCCTGCTAAAGCAAAGGTAAGAACCATGCAGTAATCTGAAAGTAGATGTGGGTAATAAGAGATCTCAGCCATTGAAGGGAATATTGGTATAATAACACAACGTATTTAAAACCATTTTACTCTCAAATGATGTGCAGATTTTACTTAGTGAACTCCAGTGGCAAAAAACTATTCTGACGTTTTCGTGAAGTTGACATTTGATCTTTTTCTCTTCCAAGATTCAAGACATGGTGGCTATTCGACACACTGCAAGTAACGAGCAACAGCGCACGACCATGATCCTTCTCTGCGAGGACGGAAGCCTTCGGATCTACATGGCAAATGTGGACAACACGTCATACTGGCTCCAACCATCGCTGCAACCCAGCTGTGGCATCAGCATCATGAAGCCAGTTCGCAAACGCAAAGCCGCTGCTGCAAGTAAGTTTATGTCCAATTAAAAAGCAGTTTTTAATAATCGAATCGATAAATGTTTGTTGGACCCCAATAAAGATAAACTTAATTATACTTAGTTTGTTTTAATGTTAACTTTTTTCATTTCAACTCGTCAATTTTTCCCGAAGCTACTCGAACCTCCAGTCAGGTGACATTCCCAGTGGACTTCTTCGAACACAACCAGCAACTGACAGAGGTTGAGTTCGGGGGTAATGACCTGCTGCAAGTTTACAACGGGCAGCAGATCAAACACAGGCTCAACTCCACCGGGATGTATGTGGCTAACACAAAGGTAGAGACATTTTAACTGATAACTCTGTCAGAAAAAGAACAAAACATTATCGTGCTCTTGTGTTTATGTGGATATAGCTGTTACAGATTCAACTTTATTTTGCCATTTCTCTCAAATCTTGTTTTTCCTTTTAGCCTGGGGGATTCACTATAGAAGTGGTGAATAACAACAGTTCAATGGTGATGACAGGCATGCGAGTACAAATGGGCTCTCAGGCCATTGAGAGGGCTCCTTCCTATGTGGAGGTCTTTGGCCGCACCATGCAGATAAACCTGACAAGAGCCCGTTGGTTCGACTTCCCCTTCACCAGAGAGGAGGCCCTGCAGGCTGACAAGAAGCTGTCCATATTCAGTAAGATTAAGATTAAAAGTGTGAAGAGAAAATTAAATTGGTCTACTTATAATCCACCTTCCACAGCTGAAACATTTTATGTCTTGATACAACTGGCTAGGAACTTTAGAGTTTTAACATGAATGTATAAAGTCCAGCGCTCTCCCATTTGTTGGTGACATTATTGTAGCTTCAAATTGTTTACATCCTCTGATGCACTTTTGTCCCTTTTTGTTTTTCTGAAGTTGGAGCATCAGTTGATCCAGCTGGAGTCACCATGCTTGATTCAGTCAAGATCTATGGTAAAACTAAGGAGCAGTTTGGTTGGCCTGAAGATCCACCCGAGGACTTCTCCTCTGCATCAGTGAATAATGTGTGCAGTCCCAGCCTTAATCAAAGCAATAGCAACTCTGATGGAGATATAGCCACCCCCACCACAACCAGTGGCACTGTGCTAGAGAGGTATGAGCTGTGCACGCTTCTTTACTTTTACACTTTTAAGTCCCATATAGTTGAATCAATGTCATATATGACGTGAAAAGTTATATATTTTATAAGGGTGGGTTATATCAAAGCTGTTTTATTTTATTTGAGCCAGCTTAATGTTGTTTTATCTTGCAGCAATATCAGTTTACCTTTTCAAGTACAGAAGGTCAACCTAATCAAATCTGTTCCTTCTATTATTGTATTGCCTTATTTGTTTTATTACACATTGACAATAATGTGATGTAGTCATTTTATATTAAAATAATGTATTTTAGATTAAACAAATGGTCTACAAACTAATAGAGCAATTGCAACAAAACATAATGCATTTATAGCATTTTTTCCCTTATTACTCATTGCTCTTAAGTGTTTTTCATAATTTTAGTGGAAGTTTAGTATAATCTTCATTCTGGACAAAGGTGGTTCAGAGCGTTTTGTGCATGGCAATTGTGATCATCTTTTCTTGCATGTTTTTCTTTTGTTTAGCCGAATCATTTATTTTCACTTGTTTCTTTCTGTGATGCTCACACTTGTTTTGTTTTTTGTTTGTTTTTTGTTTTTTGCTCCCAAAACTATAAAAATACAAAAAAAAAAAAAAAGTTGTGAAACAGAGTCCTTATCAACCTTGGACCGGTTAGTAACTGTCCTTTTTCTGCTTGTTTGGTTGGTTTTGTGCATGTGTGCCTTTCTGTGTCTGTGCTTGAAATTCTTTACATTGTGCAACATCTTCATGCTGGCTCCCAATTTGAGTTTTGTTTTTATTTACCCCTTCCGTTTCTTCTTGCATCCAGTGTTGTTTGCCATTTAGATTAGCGCAGATTGCAACAGAATAGACGTGTGGATTTTTTTTCTTTTCTTTGTAGAAGTAGTATATTGGTTGAATCCATTGAGGAGGCAGAATTAATCTTTCATTTGTATTTTAGATTGGTGGTCAGCTCACTTGAAGCTTTGGAAAGCTGCTTTGCTGTAGGTTCCACAAGTGAGAAGGTAAATGTATACATTTATTCAGATTCCTTCAAAAGTAATAATTGGAACAAAAGGTATTGAGTCCTACTTTACTGTTTTTAGTCAGTGTAGTTAATTGTGTTTTTACTTTTTAGGAAAAGAACAAAACTGCAGCACTGGAACTGGCCACTTTACTTTTGTCCATGCCGACTCCTGCAGGCGTGCAGCAACAAACCAAAGGACTTCTTGCTAGCCTGCACACCAGCCGTACAGCTTATCACACTCATAAGGTGAAAAAACTATTCTGTTGTCTTTGAAGTATGATGTTTTAGGTGTTTATAAGCATTTTGAATTTTATTTAATATTCAATTGTATCAGTTTAATTTTCTGTGAGTGAAAAGCTAATGTTAAAATAATGAAATTAGTCAGGGAGAATTCTAGACTCATCACAAATATCTAATTTTCTTAAAAAAATTTTTTTAAATGAAGTTGATTAACTTTCAAAAAATAACTTAAACCTGAATGGGATTGTAGTATTCATGTCACTCCTGAATATATAATACAACTTAATCTCTTATTTCATCAGGACCAGTCCTTGCTGAGTAACGCAGTGCAGTGTCTGAATAGTTGTAGCCGTGAGGGGAGGGAGATCGACCCAGATGTCTTCCAGAGACTGGTGATCACCGCCCGTTCCATTGCAATCATGAGACCCAACAATTTGGTTCATTTCACAGAAACTAAATTGTTTCAACATGACTCCGGTAAGAGCTTGTGTTGCAAATGTTTTCTGAATAACTTGAAACTTTTATACAATTTAACACTCTCCTACATAAACTAGACACAGCAGAGGATGGACATAAACTTGTGGATGGTGAAAGCTGCAACTTCATTGCTCAACTGATGAATAACTTCTGGAAGCTTCATTCTCAGAAACCAAAAAATGCATTTCTTGCTCCTGCTTGCCTGCCTGGTAAGCACAAACCTTAAAGCCCCACGTTTCATTTCTACATGTCTGTCACATACACTGGAGCAAAATACAAGACTCTACGTTCAGCAAAGTGTTTTTCTTTAAGGCCTAACGCACGTGGAAGCAACAGTGAATGCCTTAGTAGACATCATCCATGCATATTGCACATGTGAACTGGATTACATCAATGTAGCTTCCAAAATCTACATGCAAATGTTACTGTGCCCCGTAAGTAAGATTTTACTCTTCTTACTATAGCAGTACTGGGATTGAAATAAAATATTGTAATGTTTAATATGCTTACAGTTTTACTGTTAAAACTTGAACAACATTATTGTTCCCTTTAATTAACAACAATAAAGAGTCATACTGTGCTATATTTGTATGAAAAACATTCAGGACACCGCTGTGAGCTTCGCTTGTAAACAAGCTCTGATCAGAGTCCTGCGGCCCAGAAACAAACGCCGTCATGTGACGCTTCCATCTCCCCCACGGTCCAACACACCTATTGGTAAGTTTATTTAGGTTTCTTTCAAAGTAACTATGTCTAGGTTGTATGTTGTACATTTTTATGATGTTTTTGAGAAACTAACATCACTGTTTTTGTCTTGTTGTATGCAAGGTGTTGGTAATCTTGCAACCTAATGTTATCCAGAGTTACAAAAGTTTGTTGTTTGTGTTCTTTCAGGAGATAAGGATGATGATGACGATGATGATGCAGATGACAAAATGCAGTCATCAGTGTTGGCTGGAGGAGACGACGGTCGACAGGAGAGCCAGGAACAAAATGAAGTGGACCACAGCGATTTTGAGATGGTGGTGAGGCAGAAAGGATAATTAAAGTCTGTGGGCTGTAATTGACATTGCTGTTGTTTTATGTTTGTGGCCTGCATGTCTACTGTGTGCTAGTTTCTGATTAAATACATCTGAATCTAAAGATGCTGATGATGCTTTCTATTGTGACATTCCCAGTCTGAGTCAATGGTCCTGGATACAGCAGAGAATGTTACCAATGGAAACCCGTCACCTCTTGAGGCTCTGCTGGCCGGAGCTGAGGGTTTCCCCCCTATGCTTGATATTCCCCCTGATGCTGATGATGAAACCATGGTAGAGCTGGCTATTGCTCTCAGCCTTCAGCAGGACCAACAAGGTATATATTTAAGGATTAAAAAACAAGACAAACTGTAGTAACTAAGGAGTAAATATAACTAAACCAGTCATTTAAGATGGTCTTTATGTTTGTACTAAAATTAAGTTGATGTTCTATGAACCGCAGACAGTTTGGACATGGTTCACAAGTTAAACAACACATGTTCAACAGCCGTTTGTGTTCTCAAAGTAGAAAAATATGTGTTATCAAATTAAATCGACACCTAAATGTACTCTTTGGCCTTTCTTAGGCAGCAATAGCAGTGCTCTTGGCCTTCAGAGCCTTGGCCTGTCTGGCCAGGCTCCAAGCTCCTCATCACTTGATGCTGGCACCCTTTCAGATACAACTGCTTCAGGTAATAAAACCATTCCCACTGTAACAATATTGCTATTATCATTCTTATAAATGTAGATTTGATTTATTAAAAAGAAAAAAGATAATCAAACTTTTTCAATTAAAAAACAGAAAATGCTGCGTGAATATTAGGAATCACTATTTAAACTAATCTTGAAGTTGAAGCTTTTTTTTCTATTTTATTTCTGATAGTTTAATATCACTCATTTACAAAATACTTTTAAAAGTAATAAATTTGAGTATTTTGATTGTGCTGAATGTTCCTTTGCTTGTTAGTGAAAAGTATAAACTAAGATCATGTATCCTGGCCAGATGACCACGCTGTATTTGCTGTTACAGCTATTGCTATGATTTCAGCCCCGGCATCAGATGATGAGGGCAGCACAGCTGCTACTGATGGCTCTACATTGCGGACCTCCCCAGCTGAGCACGGCGGCAGCGTGGGCTCAGAGAGTGGGGGTTCTGCTATCGACTCTGTAGCAGGGGAGCACAGTGGTGGGTTGTTTAAATAAAATAGGCCAGTATAATATAAAAAATGCTTAAAATGCATGCCTAAAATAAATTGTGTACCACCCAAAAAACAGATCAATATGCCCAAGTACGGTCAGTGGATAATAAACATTTTCTGGCAATTATTTTTTATCTTTCAGCACTTAATTTACCACACCTTTCCTTCTCTTCATCCACACCTGATTTAGGCTAAAAATATCCTGTTTTATGTTATCCAATGAAGTCCTGAATGGCACAATCCTTCTGAAAAAGCACAAATTGCTTTTTTGATTTAGAATCACATTTAAACTTTATTGTAGTTTGCTGTATTTCTAATCTGTGTTGTCATGAGTTTTTGTTTTTTTGCATTCTTGTGTAGTGTCAGGACGCAGCAGTGCATATGGAGACACAACAGCTGAAGGTCACCCTGCTGGTCCAGGCAGCGTGAGTTCCAGTACTGGAGCAATCAGTACCACAACAGCACAGCAGGAAGGTGAAGGCTCAGAAGGAGAAGGAGAGACCGAGGGAGACGTCCACACAAGTAACAGGTCCGAGTCTGAGGGATGTGGTGTTGTTTGATTTTTATATTTAAACGTAGTGTTTGAAGAAAATAACAGTTTGCTTTGCAGTTGTGCTGTATCAAACTGTGTTACAGACCAATGAAACAAAGACATTCTTGTAAAAAATCATTTAATAGACTAATTTAGTGTAAAATTACACAAAACAGTAACTGTTGTGAAATTTCTGAATTTTTTTTGTTATTCAATATAGTAAAAATTGTTCCAAATCCTACATAGTTCTTCAAATTGATAGTGTCCTGACTGCCATCTTCTGGAAATGATTCAAAATGAAACTTTGTTACATCATCAGTCTCTCTTATGAAGTCTTTAAGCTTGATTTACTATCAGTGAGGCCACCTGTGACCATCAGAGTAAAATAAACTAGGAAATTATTTTTGTAGTGGACTAAATGTATTTAAAGGAAAAAAAATGTAATGTATTTAATTTAGTAAATGATTTGTAATGTGTCGCTTATCTTTTTATATTTGTTGTTAGGTTGCACATGGTTCGTCTTATGCTACTGGAGCGCTTGCTACAACACCTTTCTCAGCTCCACAATGTAGGTGGAGTTCAAGCCATCCCATATATGCAGGTTATTCTTATGTTGACCTCTGACCTCGATGGGGAGGATGAAAAAGATAAAGGTGCCTTGGATGACCTGCTTGCGCAGCTGATTGCTGAACTTGGCATGCATAAAAAGGTAACTATTTACTTACACCACAATGTTAACAAGTATATAAATATTCCAAATTTTCTGATCTATTGAATCCATGTAATTTCTCTGCAGGATGTGTCCAAAAAGAATGAGCGCAGTGCCATCAATGAAGTCCACCTGGTCATCATGAGGTTACTTAGCGTGTTTATGTCTCGTACCAAGTCTGGCTCTAAGTCTTCATCTGAGGTAAATCAGCAATTTTAAAATTAATTTATTTACTTTTTTTCCTAATAAAATACAAATGATTTATTAAAAATTGGAGAACAATGTGTGACACCAGTTGTTTCATAACCAAAATATATATATAAATTAGTGCCTCATTGTGGTTTTTGAACCTGATCAAAAAAGGAAAAATTTGTCTATCATGTGATTTGAACAACAAAGTTCACATACTTGCATGGTTTAGAAATGAATTATGAACATATAGTCTAATTTATCTGCTGCTGTGCTTCTTCTAGTCATCCTCCCTGATTTCCAATGCAACAGCAACAGCTTTGCTCAGTCTGGGTTCCATTGACTATTGTCTTCATGTGCTCAAATCGCTCCTGGAGTTCTGGAAAAGCCAACAGGGTGAAGAGGAGCCTGTGACCACCAGTCAGCTCCTTCGCCCCCACACTGCTTCCTCACCCCCCGACATGAGCCCCTTTTTCCTTCGTCAATATGTCAAGGTATCACGATGGCGGGGAACATGTCTTTTTACGTGTTTTTTTTTTTTTTTTGTTGTTCATATTTCTAATACTACTCAGTGTTTTGTTTGATTACTAAGTGTTATTTTTGTGTTCAGGGACACGCTGCTGATGTGTTTGAAGCTTACTCCCAGCTGCTGACTGAAATGGTCCTCCGGTTGCCGTATCAGATAAAGAAGATCACTGACTCAAACCCACGAATCCCACCTCCTGTGTTTGATCATTCCTGGTTCTACTATCTCTCTGAAGTAAGTCTCGGTGTATTTCCTTTTCATGAGATTGTTCAGTATTTACAAAAAAAACAAACAAATCTTTTTTTGTCTCTTCAGTATCTCATGATCCAGCAGACACCATTTGTCAGGAGACAAGTTCGAAAGCTCTTACTATTTATCTGTGGCTCTAAAGAAAAATATCGCCAACTGCGAGATTTGCACACACTCGACTCGCACGTCCGCAGTATCAAGAAACTTCTGGAAGAGCAGGGCATCTTCCTTCGTGCTGGCGTGGTCACTGCAACATCTGGTTCTGCTCTCCAGTATGACACACTGATCAGTCTGGTGAGGACCCTTTAGAGATGTTTTCTCAGAAAGCTTAAATTTTATTTAGGATTTTTTTAAATATCTCCAATTATTTGTCTTAAGTTTTATTCCTGCCGGTGCATTTACAATGTTTTTTTTTTTAGATGGAACATTTGAAAGCATGTGCGGAGATTGCTACTCAGAGAACAATCAACTGGCAGAAATTCTGCATGAAGGACGACTGTAAGTTGTTTTCAAACACTGTCAGCAGGTATAAGCATTTAAAGCCAGCATTGTTAACATTTTTCTCTCTTTTTATCCCTCGTGCTCTTTGCTGCTCAGCTGTGTTGTACTTCCTGCTCCAAGTCAGCTTCCTGGTGGATGAGGGTGTTTCTCCAGTTCTCCTTCAGCTCCTCTCCTGTGCCCTGTGTGGCAGCAAAGTGCTGGCCAGCTCCTCCTCCACCTCTTCATCGGGCTCAGGAGGCGGCTCAGGTGGTGCCGGACAGACTGGAGCGTCTCAGTCCTCTCAGAGCAAATCTTCTAGTAAGAAAAGCAAAAAGGAAGACAAAGAAAAAGACAAAGAGGGTGAGACGTTGACATTTGTTTTCTAAAATCTTCTTCAGCCTGTTATTAATGTTGTGCGTGAAAAAGATGCTGGTCTTCTGATGATTACTTTTGAACTGATGACAGGTGAGAGTGTCAGCAGCCAGGAAGATCAGCTGTGCATGGCTCTGGTCAGCCAGCTGAACAAGTTTGCAGACAAGGAGACGTTAATCCAGTTCTTGCGCTGTTTCCTGCTGGAGTCAAACTCATCAGCTGTGCGCTGGCAGGCCCATTGCTTGGCTCTGCATATCTACAGGTACGGGTGAAACAATTAGACTGTGAGTGTTATAACCACATAAATATGAGTCTCAGCAAAACCACGAATACACATAAAATGCTAAAATTATATTCAGTGTTTTTGGCTAATGTGACTGTTTCTGCAGGAACTCCAGCAAATCTCAGCAGGAGCTGCTGCTGGAGCTGACTTGGGCCATCTGGCCGGAGCTCCCTGCATATGGCCGCAAAGCTGCCCAGTTTGTTGACTTACTTGGATACTTCTCACTCAAAACTCCTCAGACAGAGAAAAAGGTTTGTTTTATCTCAGTGTGGTTTATCAGTGTTTGTCTTGTTATTTTTGTATGTCACAGTGTGAAGATAAAATGATAAATGTGTTATTCAAAATATCTGTATTTGACTCGGCTGTTTAAGTTTGTAATTGAAAGTTTATACTGATCTGCTCAAGATTTTTAATCTAAATTGTTTAGTGTTTTTGACACAGAAAACTGCAGTCAGTCATAGAAAATCTTTCTAAATCACATTTCTTTTCTTGTTACAGCTGAAGGAATATTCCCAGAAAGCTGTGGAAATCTTGAGGGCACAGAACCACATCCTAACAAATCACCCCAACTCCAACATTTACAAGTTTGTATTCACTAATTATCATTTCTCTTAAAAAAAATAAAAACACATTTGACCTTCTTCTACATAGAATCATCCATGGTTTTCTTCTGCAGCACTCTTTCTGGATTAGTGGAGTTTGATGGTTTTTATTTGGAGAGTGACCCCTGCTTGGTGTGCAACAACCCAGAAGTTCCCTTCTCAGTAAGTGAAACTTATAAAACTAATAAAAACAAAGTTCTGAATTTGTCAGTCATTTTCAACTTGTTTTCTTGTCTCTTTTGTCCTTCAGAACATTAAACTGTCATCAATCAAAGTGGACACACGGTACACCACCACACAGCAGGTTGTCAAGCTTATCGGCAGCCACACCATCAGCAAAGTCACAGTAAAGATCGGCGACCTCAAACGCACGAAAATGGTCCGCACCATCAACCTTTATTACAACAACAGAACTGTACAGGCCATCGTGGAGCTGAAAAATAAGTATGTTTTACTCAAGCGCCTCTCTTTTGCATTGTCTTTAAGTCATTTATGTTCATACCAGGTGTAAAGTTCATATAGTTTATTAGTTTTAAGATGTAACGTTTACATCAACTGTTCTGTTCAGGCCGGCTCGTTGGCACAAAGCCAAGAAAGTTCAGCTTACCCCAGGACAAACTGAGGTGAAAATCGACCTTCCCTTGCCTATCGTCGCATCCAACCTGATGATCGAGTTTTCTGATTTTTATGAAAACTATCAAGCGTCGACCGAGACCCTGCAGTGTCCACGCTGCAGTGCTTCTGTTCCTGCCAACCCTGGGGTGTGTGGCAACTGCGGTGAGAATGTGTATCAGTGCCACAAGTGCAGGTAAATATTAGGTTTCTCCCTCAATTTGCCCTGAAATATAATTTTAAAAATTATGAGATTTTAATCAATATTTTTTTTTCTCTTCAGGTCTATTAACTATGATGAAAAAGATCCCTTCCTGTGCAACGCCTGTGGTTTCTGCAAATATGCCCGATTTGACTTCATGCTGTACGCTAAACCTTGCTGTGCAGTGGATCCAATTGAGAATGAGGAAGACAGGAAAAAGGTAAACTATCTGTAGGAAGAGTACTATAATGAAATACACAAATATTCAACCTCCATTTTCAAGATTTAGAAACTTGTTTTATCATCACATTGTTTGTCTTTAATTTGTTTCGTCTCTATTTTTTATGTTTTTCAGGCTGTAACTAACATCAACACTCTGCTGGACAAAGCTGACCGGGTCTACCACCAGCTGATGGGACACAGACCCCAGTTAGAGAGCCTCCTGTCTAAAGTTAATGAGGCAGCACCAGAGAAACCCCAGGTCAGTCACAAGAGAAGCCTGAACACAACTTTTAAAATAAAGCTAAATGTTTGGATGCATATATGTAAAAAGGAAAAATATATTGTGTGCACACTAGCAATATTTTCAAAATTCATCTCAAGTATCTTTCAGTCTTGATTATACATTTTTACATCATGGTGTTCTCTCCTTTGTTGCTTCCAGGATGATACTGGAGCAGGTGCAGGACTCGGTACCTCTACTGCTAATGTGAACCGATACATTCAGCAGCTGGCTCAAGAATACAGTGGAGACTGCAAGACATCTTTTGATGAGCTCTCTAAGATAATACAGGTCAAAGAGCAGGAAAAACGTAACATTTTAAAGGAAAATGAAGCACCAGTATTTTTTCATACCGTATGTATTGATGTGTTTTGTTTACAGAAAGTGCTTGCGTCTCGGAAGGAGCTGTTGGAGTATGATCTGCAGCAGAGAGAGGCTGCCACCAAGTCGTCCCGGAGCAGCAGCAGCCACCAGCCCACCTTCACCGCCAGTCAGTACCGAGCTCTGTCCGTGCTCGGCTGTGGCCACACTTCATCAACCAAGTGTTACGGATGTGCCTCAGCTGTCACGGGCCACTGCATCACATTGCTTCGTGCGCTGGCCACCAACCCGGCTCTCCGGCAGATCCTCGTCCTCCAGGGTCTCATTCGTGAGTTGTTTGAGTACAACTTGCGACGAGGTACAGCAGCCATGAGGGAAGAAGTGAGGCAGCTGATCTGTCTCCTCACCAGGTGTGATTCACACATCCTGTTGTATTTTAATTAAATGTAATTGTTTTTAGCTTTTAACCTCAGAATGGGAGGTTTTGACAAATCCAATAAATGTGACCCATCACATCGTAACGAGGATTAAGTCTAAAAGTTATGTGGAGAAATAGGCAGATGTAGTGTTTTGATTAAAACGCATGCAAAAATTAAATTTTGTCAAAATCTAACAAATGTGTTATCAATGTTTCATTTCAATGAACGGTCAGAAATATTATCCTAAAAAAAATTTCGAAGCACTTTTTTTGAGCATTAGCAACCAAAAACCCATTTTTAAGGATAAACGCCTTTAAAATGTTGAGATTTTCACTGTGAGCTATCAAAGCTTTTGTTTCTTTCCAGCTGGGAAATCTCATTCAAATACTATTTGAGGTTTCTTTTTTCAAATGACAAAAAAAAAATCCTCATTAAAATTACATAATATTAGGATTTAGACCAAATATTTATGTATTATTGTAACCAAGACAAATTAAATAAAATCTCTGGATCTACTAATGATATCAAATATAGCTTTTAAAGCCAGGAATAGGTCATTTTGACCAAATTTGACTTAATCCTTATTTCGATGTGATTAGTCACATATTTTTGATTGTTGCAAACACAATGCAGTGAGATAACAGGTAAATTGTGTACTTCTTGTATATTTCTGCTTCAGAGATCATCCAGAAGCCACACAGCAAATGAACGACCTCATCATTGCCAAGGTTTCCGCTGCTCTCAAGGGTCACTGGGCAAATCCCGACCTGGTATGTTATTTTACATGTTCTATTGAAAGCTGAACTTATTAATTTAAAGAAACAGTGTCTATAATTAAACACCAGATTTACTGGATTGGGTTGTTTAAATTTGCTGTAGAATTTTCTGTCTTGATATGAACATGTCTCCGTTTCAGGTAAGTAATTTGCAGTATGAAATGTTGCTGCTGACGGACTCCATTTCCAAAGAGGGAGGATGCTGGGAGTTAAGGTTGCGTTGTGGTAAGCTTAACTTCCTGCCTTATTGTTCAAGATACCCATTTTCTGTTTTATTTTGTTTGTTTTTTTCTGATCTATGTGTCAAAGGAAAGTAACTTGTGATTGTCTGGATGACCTAACTTGTTCTGCACATTATTGCAATGGTTGGCTACAAAAACAGTGATTTTTTTTTTCCTTTTTGATAATTTTTAGTTCATTTTAAAACTCTTTTTAAAAGCCGTGTTGTTTGTCTGTGTTGTTTGTGTTTGTAGCACTCAGTTTGTTCCTGATGTCAGTGAATATAAAAACACCTGTAGTCGTTGAGAACATCACACTCATGTGCTTGAGAATCCTGCAAAAGCTGATAAAGCCTCCTGCACCAACTAGCAAGAAGAACAAGGTAATTATTACTTGGGAACTTTAGGTTGAATGTATTTGATTAAATATGCAACACATCTAAACCCTGTTAAGACAACAGACCATTAAAGACGAGTCCAAAAAAGCTGGATGCTCTCTTTAATTCAAACACTTAAATAGGCACATTGCTCTTGTAAGTTTTACTAGACCAAAACAAGATGACATTTTTATGTCGTAGCTAAAACTATAAACCCTGCACTATTGTCTTATTATTAAATTTCAGTTTTTTTAACCGTATTAGATGGTGCTTTTAATGTGTTCTTATACTTGTGTTTTCTGAAACATACTCTTGTGTATTTGTTTGTATTTAAAGGATACTGCCATTGAATCGCTGACCACAGTCAGACCCTACAGTAATGAAATTCATGCCCAGGCTCAGCTTTGGCTAAAGAAAGATCCTAAGGCATCTTATGATGCTTGGAAAAAGTGTCTCCCAGCTAGAAGTGAGTACAACAAGAATACGTCTGAATTAGGGCTGTCAAATTATTTAAATTTTTAATCTATTAATTCCAAGATAGCTGTGAATTAATCACGATTAATCTTAAACTTAATATAAAACTTTATTGCATATTGGTAAAATAAATTACTTGTTATTAATTAATGTCTTTATTTTGAAAAAAAATTGGTGCTTAAGAAATACATACAACAATAATAAATCATGAAAATATCACCTCGATTGCACAAGAACAACAAAAATCAGGACCTAAAAAATGCCCCAAACATATTTGGGTCAGTTAAATTTTGTGCAGAATAATGGTTAAATCAAGAATTCAAGGATTTTTATTCCAAATGAGTACTATATGAGGAATGAAAGATAGATATTAAGGTCACAGTTGTCAGCAAAACATACATAAATAAAATAAGCCATAAGAAGACAAAAAGAAAAAAAAACTGTACATAATGTGTTATATACATGGAGGTTATTTTTTTTTTTAATTTAACCTTTATTTATCCAGGTAAACTGTTTGAGAACCACTTCTAATTTACAAACATGACCTGGCATGCACTGAGTGCATTGCAATATACAGTACAAACCTACATATTCAGCCATAGTAAAGTGATTGTAAATTTTAATTGTGATTAAAATTTTTAATCTGTGCCCATGTAGCACTAAAATTAATTAGAGTTAACTCGATTAATTTCTCAGCCCTAGTCTGAGTACGTCAGTCACAAGATTATTCTTTATGATAACCCTGTTTCTGTTGGGAATATTTTCATTACCACAGGCCAGGAGGCTGTGTCCAAGCCTCAGGGCAAAGCCGAGCTGCGGAAGCAGTATCTGCTGGAGAAGTATGTTTGGAAGTGGAAGCAATTCATGAGGTCCAGGAAAGGTGAAGGTCTTTTCCCTCGCCTGCTCAAACTGAGCCACAACAACTGGCTTCGGCAGGTAAAGAAACGTTTATTTATGACTGTTGAGCTGTGCTTTCTGCAGATGTGCACGTCGTTTAAAAACTGAAATCTTTGCCCCAGGTTCTGTTCACACCTGCCACCCAGGCCGCAAGACAGGCAGCTTGCACTATTGTGGAGGCTCTTACCACAATCCCCAGCCGCAAGCAACAGGTCCTGGACCTGCTCACCAGGTTTGAGTCTTGAAAATATAACTTGCACCTACAAACCGCTACCAGATGTATAATAGATGTAAAGGGATTCTAGATTTCTTTTCTTTTTTATTACCAAAATTTAGTCAAATAAACATGACCAGAAAGGGTACAGTAATTTATCTGCTCGTTATTTTCAATTATAACTAAATATGCTGCAGTTAAAGGGGTAATTCTTGCTCAAAAGACTGTAAAAGGCTCAGTAGATAATAAACAGTGTCCATCTAATCAGTAACTTTGTTTGTCAGTTACCTTGATGAACTGAGTGTTGCTGGAGAGTGTGCGGTGGAATATCTGGGCCTGTACCAAAAACTGATCAAGCCAACACACTGGAAGGTTTACCTGGCTGCTCGTGGGGTTCTGCCCTACATCGGTAACCTGATCACCAAGGTACGATGAAGAAAGATATCTCATGGACTGGATTCGGTTGTTTTTTTAAAATCAAAACAAAATTATAACTTAAAAAACAAAAACTATTTTGGCATTAATTATTACATTTTTGTTGTTGAGGAATTTATTGCAAATGCATTGATCAGTGTCTATATTAGTCTGTTTGGATTTTGTGAATCTTTACATTTTATTTCTCTGATCAGGAAATAGCCAATCTCCTTGCTCTAGAGGAGGCGACACTGAGCACAGACCTACAGCAAGGCTACGCCCTCAAGAGCTTGACTGGTTTGTTTTCTTCTTTTACCTTTATTTGTAAAATGAAGAGAAGCTGAGAGCAAAATTTAAATTAAAACAACATAAACTTCACATGTTTTTCAATACAGAATTTAATTTTGTGAAGGATTCTTCTGTGACTGCTGATTTACTGGCTTCTGGCTGTTGTAGGATTGCTGTCATCTTTTGTGGAGGTGGAGTCCATTAAGCGCCATTTCAAGAGTAGATTGGTTGGCACAGTTCTGAACGGATACTTGTGTCTGAGGAAGCTGGTGGTGCAGCGCACCAAGCTGATCGATGAGACTCAGGACATGCTCCTCGAGATGCTGGAGGACATGACAACAGGTCTGCACCGACACACAATGTCAACATACTTTAAGTTTCATTCTGATGGTTGTGCTCAAATGCAAAACGAAGGTTGTAAATGTACTAAACATCAGATTTATTCATTTTTTTCTGTACAGGTACAGAGTCTGAAACCAAAGCTTTCATGGCAGTTTGCATCGAGACAGCAAAACGATACAACCTTGATGACTACCGGACACCCGTGTTTATTTTTGAGAGACTGTGCAGCATCATCTACCCTGTAAGTTGCAATTTGTTAGCACAGTTGCCACAAAGGAGATAAATTATCTGCAATATTAATCATTTTAAATGTGAGTTTTTTTAAATGTTGAATTTGCTTGTTTATTGTTTTTTGTTTGTTTGTTTGTTTGTTTGTTTGTTTGTTTGTTTGTTTGTTTGTTTGTTTTAATACTCCTCTATGATAGTAATAAATAACTTAGCTTTACTGATAGATTTTTATGAGCAAATAATTCTCTTAAATATAGTTTCCCAGAAATGTTGAATTAATTTGAACTGTTCCTGTCATCCTCTGTGTAGGAGGAGAACGAGGTGACGGAGTTCTTTGTGACTCTGGAAAAAGACCCTCAGCAGGAGGACTTCCTGCAGGGCCGAATGCCAGGAAACCCCTACAGCAGCAACGAGCCGGGTATTGGCCCACTGATGAGAGACATCAAAAATAAGATTTGTCAGGACTGCGACCTGGTGGCGCTTCTGGAAGACGACAGTGGCATGGAGGTAAAATCTACACTCTGCTATTATTGGTGTCTTTTTTTAACTGAAACTTTTGTTTCTCAGAAATAATCAAATTTCTTCCTGTTTTTCTCAGCTACTTGTAAACAACAAAATCATCAGTTTAGAGCTGTCTGTGGCTGAGGTCTACAAGAAGGTCTGGTGCCCGACAAATGAGGTCAGTAAATTATTCTTTATGAGGTGCTTTTTATGTTAAATCCAGTTAATCTGAAAGTGATTCAGCTCATGGATTATTTTCCCCCCAAAGGGTGAGCCGATGAGAATAATATATCGAATGAGAGGTCTACTTGGAGATGCCACTGAGGAGTTCATAGAGTCGCTGGACTCAACCACAGGTTAGATTTCAGATTGTTTTGAACATTCTTTGTCAAAAGTAAAATGTTTTTATGTTTTTACATCATTTTTCTTTGCTCTAACACTGAAAGTACAAATACCAGGGTTCGCGCAGGGTCTAAAAAAGTCTAAAATTTGAAAATCAAACTTTTAGGCCTAAAAAAAAGATAAAAAGACCCAGATTTTCATCTAAGGTCTTAAATTAAAATTTATCAAGTCTTATTTTTTTATTTTTACTTTCGATCATTCCAGAGAAGCGTTGGCTGCATAAAGAAACAGAGTAAAGTGCCGTAATCAAAGGTTGACGTGATCTGTCTTCATGAGGTGCTAAGTTTGCTACCAGTCTTTGTACGCATTAAAATACAAATCCAGTGATATCTGTAGGTAAAAAAAATGGCAGTTTACTTCCATGTTTTCGTCCACTTTGCCACTATAACTAGGGTTGGGTACCGAAACTCGGTTCCAGTTTGGCACCGGGGCGAAGATCAACAGTAGTAGTCAAACCGAAACACAACTCTAATTTCGGTGCTTTATTTTGGTGCCTCAAAGAAAGCTGTTAATTGCGCCGTCTGGTGTTCACTGTTAACAGTGACAGCCTCGGCACAATCTCCACAGAGTGCCAACAACAATAGGGGTGAGTTTTTAATGTGTTTTAACCGTTTAATTTAGCTGTTTCTGCCCTCTGTGTCGGACTATGTGTGGTAGAGAGAACAGCTGTGTGTTAAGTTTCACTTCGAACGGGAGCGCAGTGAGCGCCATGTTTTTACTTTCGGTTTGAAACCGCACTGTAATTAGCGTGTCCGAGTAGTTTTTCTTTTAAAAAATGCTGGGACTGCTCACAGGAGGCATAGAAGAACACCTGTATTGTTCCCCCTGCTGGATTTTTAAAATAAAAAAAAAGCTCTCGGTCCTTTCTCGCTGTTACGTTAGAGCTGCGGCCGTGCAGCAGACAGACGCTGCAGATCACGTTTGCTCTGATCGCAGTATAAAGTCGTGATGCAGGTTTCCTTCGGTTTACATTTCAAACTGTGCTCTAAACTTAACTTCAGCTGGTTTAAATGCATTTTTTGCCCGGTGTGAAAAAAAAACGGGTGCAGACTGAGGCAGACTATGAGCGCTGTGTGTGTGTGTGTGTGTGTGTGTGTGTGTGTGTGTGTGTGTGTGTGTGTGTGTGTGNCTGCACAGGCAGGAAGGGAGCGTGTGACTGAGACGTGGCCAGCGGCGTGCAGCCCGTCCAGCTCTCTCTCTCTCTGTGTGTGTGTGTGTGTGTGTGTGTGTGTGAAGTCCTCACAAATATAGCAAGATGCTGTTTTTGCATCAAAAATGCTGGGATATTAAAACAGTCATTGTATTTTATGTAAAAAAATATATTAATCTGATTAATGTACAAATAAAAACAGAATATTTAGCACTAGATAAAATAAAACATGAATTTATTTTTTTTAATGTTTTCTAGTTTTAAGTTAATATGTTGGTCAATTTVAAGTTTGACTTTGCCTCAGAAATAATCATTGCTTTATAAACCTGTGTGAGTGTGTGTGTTTTATTTATTTATTTTCAAAGTACAGATTTAAATACCGTTTAGGAACCGATACCGTTTTGAAAGTATCGATTTAGCACCGGTATCGAAATAAACCCTTTCAACACCCAACCCTAACTATAACCGCCCGCATACAGCGGCTTGTTCACCCGCTCAAAGAACGAAGTTCAGTCACATCCACTGCCTGTGGTTTAAACATGAGAAAGCATGTTTTCAATGAGACTCGGCTTGATGTCAGTGGTTTTTGCACTTGGTTGGAAGCACTTGGTCCATAGCAGTCGATTTGAAGGATATGACTGTTTCATTAAGATGGTTTAGTGATTTGTTTTAAAATTAAATATTCTTTAATAGCTAAATTGAAAAGGTTTCTATGTTAATATTTCTGGGACTACTTGAGCGTTTCTGTTACTGCGTCTGTTTGGTCTTAAATGTCATTCCTAATGGTCTAAAAGGGTCTTTAAAAGGTCTTAAATTTAACTCACTGAAACCTGCGTGAACCCTGAAATACTTTTCCACTGATGGGGATTTATGCTTCTTGCTTGATTGCAGATGAAGAAGAAGACGATGAAGAGGTGTACAAGATGGCAGGGGTCATGGCACAGTGTGGAGGACTGGAGTGTATGCTCAACCGGCTGTCTGGAATCAAAGATTTCAAACAAGGACGACATCTGCTGACTGTAAGCTACATTTATTCAGCTGAAATCAATTTCAAGTGTTGTGTGACTGAAGCTGCATTTTTTTATTCAAATGTTATATATACACTGGTTTAACACCCAAGTTGAACACATTTTGTTTTTGTCCAGGTTTTACTGAAGCTGTTCAGTTACTGTGTCAAAGTCAAGATTAATAGGCAACAACTAGTGAGACCGGAGATGAACACACTCAATGTCATGCTGGGAACTCTAAACCTGGCAAGTGTTTTCAGGGAATTTCACTTTGTCGTGATGCCGAAAGTCAAACACAGAGCTTAGTTTTAATCTTTTTCCTTTTTTCCAGGCTTTAGTAGCAGAACAGGAGAGCAAGGACAGCGGTGGAGCCTCCATAGCAGAACAGGTCCTGAGCATCATGGAGATCATCCTGGATGAAGCTAATGCTGAGAGGATTTCAGAGGACAAGGTAAAACTGAACTAAGTTGGATTAAAAAAGGACATTCACTTTGTAAACAAAACGTTTTATTTCTTTCTTTCTTTCTTTCTTTCTTTCTTTCTTTCTTTTATTTATTTATTTTTTATTTATTTATTTATTTTTTCTGTCACAGGGTAATCTTCTGCTCACAGGAGACAAAGATCAGCTTGTGATGTTGTTGGATCAGATCAACACCCCGTTTGTTCGCTCAAACCCCAGCGTGCTGCAGGGTCTGCTGCGCATCGTTCCATACCTGTCCTTTGGTGAACTGGAGAAGATGAAGATTTTGGTGGAACGTTTTAAACCGTGCTGCAATTTTGACAAGTAAGTATTCCTGACCCTTTTTTTTAAGGATGTCGTGTTTAAGCCTCTGATTTCTAAAGGTTAGATCATTAAATCTGGCTCTGAACATTTCTTTGTGTTTTTTTTCTCGAAGGTACGATGAGGAGCACAGTGCAGACGACAAAGTGTTTTTGGACTGCTTCTGTAAAATCGCTGCCGGAATCAAAAATAACAGCAACGGCCATCAGCTAAAAGATCTCATTCTTCAAAAAGGAATCACACAGAGTGCACTGGACTACATGAAGAAACATATCCCCAATGCAAAAAAGTAGGTCCCCCATTCTGCTTTAAAATGCCTGAAGATGATTCCTTTAAAGCTCTTATAGGTTTATTTATAGCTACTAGCTTTTAAGCTAAGCTTTTCGTTATCTGAACTCTTTTCAGTTTGGATGCAGATGTCTGGAAGAAGTTCCTCTCTAGACCAGCTCTACCATTTATTCTTAGATTGCTCCGTGGTTTGGCTACCCAGCATCCACCCACACAGGTACAGTTTATCTTGATTCTCAAATACAACAGCTAAAAGCTAAAAGCATATATTCAACGCACACACAAGAATTGTAATTCAGCTCATCAGATGTTGTCTTTGTCATCCAGGTACTCATAGGCACAGATTCAATAACCAACTTGCACAAGCTGGAGCAGGTTTCCAGTGATGAAGGCATAGGAACTCTGGCAGAGAACCTCCTGGAGGCGCTCAGGGAGCACAGAGACGTCAACCTGAAGATTGAAGCAGCTCGCAGGGAAACCAGAGCTGAGAAGAAGCGGATGGCCATGGCCATGAGGCAGAAGGCCCTGGGAACTCTGGGCATGACGGTAACTCTCCATTTCTTTAAACCTTTTTATTTCCTTATTCATGTTGGTAATTGTTGTGCCTTCGTTTAACAATAACTTATAAGCTTATGGTTTTTGTGTATTTTCTGTTTGCCTTTCAGACAAATGAGAAAGGTCAAGTTGTTACAAAGACTTCACTTTTGAAGCAAATGGAGGAGCTGATAGAAGAGCCGGGTTTGACCTGCTGTATCTGCAGAGAGGGTTACAAGTTCCAGGTAATGCCTCGTATCCACGGTTTATTCATGAAACACATTAGAGCTCCGGTTAGAACTGGAAACAGGGTTAAATGTCTCTTGTACTTTTTCCCTTTTGTCCTAGCCAACCAAGGTTTTGGGCATTTACACGTTCACAAAGCGCGTGGTTTTGGAGGAATTTGAAAACAAGCCTCGCAAGCAGCAAGGCTACAGCACTGTGTCGCACTTCAACATAGTCCACTATGACTGCCATCTGGCAGCTGTCAGGTCAGTTCTAACTCCATCATTCACTCTCATGTTATTATTTAGGTTATTATGCTTTTGGTTTTTCAGCAGCTTTTACAGTAAGAACAATATTGTGACGGTTCCGGGGTTTTGTTATTTTATTGCTATTTATTTTGATTGCTTAAGTTGGGTGCCTGTCAGGTCTCCCTCCTGACATATAGGATATTTTTAACCAGTTTATGGGATTTTACTATATAGTGTTATTTTAGGTTCACACAAGGACATACCTTATAAAAAACATACACCCTTTTCAAAGTTAAATTAAATAATGAGTGACAAAATGTTTAAAAAAAAGAGTGTGCGCACAGACAAAACAGGATTCATATCTTTTAAATATATCATTTACAAACAAAAATAGAATACAAATACAATACAATACAAAAATTATTTATCCCTCCCCCAGTGTCCTTATGTGGTATTAAAACCACTATAATTCAAAGTTCAAAGTAGCTTGGCTCCACAAGCACCAAAGTTGGTTGGTTAAGATTAAACTCAACTCAGATTCTTCAAAGAAATAAACACTCCCACAAAATTTACACACACACAAAATTACACCCATAAAAAAAAACACAGCCAAGGCACTAAAAACACACAGAAATACACAATTACCATTTGCATTAATAAGTCATTTCAACAGCTTGGACAACATGAAACAGACTTACTTTTTTGCTGAGTGTGTTTTTTGGGTAACTGGTGTGATTATGGAAATGTTTGGTTCATTAAAAGAAAAGATAATTGATTTTTAGTTTTTTCATTTAACACATAAATTAGTTTTGGTTTTTTGTGGGAGACTTGCATTTGTCATTTGTTTGATAACGTCATGTCAGCATGCGCGATGGGTTTCCGGCGTCGGATCCAGCAGTTTTTTGTCTTTTTGTTTGGTTCGGCTTCAGCAGTTTTAAATCCATAAACTCCACGATTGTATAAAAGTTGTCCTCCGAGGGATTAAACGCCTCGTTACGGAACTTTGTAATGCGGGTTTGGAGAGCTGCTGCACACTTGGGTCTTGCCAACAAGTGAATGAACGAACACACACACGTTGAGTGTGGGCGGATCTTAAAGGTGAGGCACTGCAGCTTTACGCAGCTGATCACAATCAATAATAATTAAACTAAGGTGGAAACAGGTGAAACAATTAAAGATAATTATGTGCAAAATCTAGGTTGCCACAATTTGACTTCCGGTTTCCCTTTCAACAGGCTGGCTCGTGGGAGAGAGGAGTGGGAAAGTGCTGCTCTTCAGAACGCCAACACCAAGTGCAATGGCCTGCTTCCTGTGTGGGGGCCACACGTGCCAGAATCGGCCTTTGCTACATGCTTAGCCAGGTAACCACGTGTTTTAGGGACGCATTCACAGAGCAAACTCTTTCTCTTTTTTAGGTCACAGAGTCATTCTTTCTTTCTTGTATGGCTGTCACACAGGCACAACACATATCTTCAGGAGTGCACAGGGCAGCGGGAGCCCACCTACCAACTCAACATTCACGACACCAAACTGCTGTTCCTGCGCTTTGCTACCGAGCAGTCGTTCAGTGTCGACTCAGGAGGCGGGGGCCGTGAGAGCAACATCCACCTCATCCCCTACATCATCCACACAGTGCTCTACGTACTCAACACGTACGGGATTTATTTGTGTTTTTTAATAGACGTGTGTTTAAAAAAACAAAGGAGTCAGGGTTTTTTCATGAAACATAAGTCCTCTAGCCTGTTAGGATTTGACAGCACAAACTCTGCCCCTGCAGCACACGAGCCACGTCACGAGAAGAGAAGAACCTACAGAGTTTCCAGGAGCAGCCTTGTGAGAAATGGGTGGAAAGCTCGTATGACGTTGAAGGACCACATTATTTCACCATCTTGGCCATGCACATCATGCCTCCTGAGAGGTGGAGGAGTTCTCGTTTGTACTTCCTGCGAAGACTCCTGGTCATGGCACATTCTCGCAAGGCCTCTGCCGTTTCCACAAACAAGTAAGATACTTTGCTTTGTATGGGATTATCTTGTTCCATTAGCGAAATGTTGGAACCAGTCACTTTTGGTACTTTTATTCAATCTTAAACCTCATGACAGCATCCACAACCAATATCTGTTCATAGAAAAATCTTATTAAAAAAAAACAGTTCTTAAATCTGAGCGATGAGGATTTTCATTTAGTAAACTTTATTTGTATAGCACTTCTCACATTCAAGTAGCCACAAAGTGCTTCACAATAAAACAGAATAGCACACAAAAGAGCATAAAATTACACTGACAAGTAATAAAGCATTAATAAGACATGCAGCCACATTAAAAAGTTGCTTTAAAAGGTGAGTTTGTAGCTGCTTTTTGAAAATCTTCTCTAAATCCACAGCTCTTAGAGATTGAGGTAATTCGTTCCAAAGTTTAGGAGCTACAACCTGAAATTCCCCATGTCTTTAGTTGGAACGGAGGAACAAGTAGCTTAGTGGAGTTACTGGACCTAAGTGTACATGTAGGTACAGGTGGGTGAAGTAGATCTGCTGTAAACGTGGGAACCTGGCCGTGCAACGCTCCAGAAGAGATAAGAATTTTAAACTGTATTCTAAATTCCACAGAAACTAATGGAGTGAATAAAGACACCCTCACAAGATTTGTTCTTACTTGTGTTGTTATAAAAATAGGATAATATGAAGGAAATTCTAATACATAGGTCCTAAAACCACTAAGGATTTCATAAAACCTGTAAGAATCTTAAAACATAAACATGTTTTTATTGTTTAATTTGCTTCCTTGTCAGACTCACAGATAAAACACCAAAGGAATATGCAGTTTATCGCTCACCTCTTCTCTTCTGGGGCCTGGTGGATCTGGTCTATGACATGTTCAGGGTAAATATCCTACAACCTTGAAAAAATGTGTCAGGCTTTGGTTGATCACATTGTTGATGGTTCATCAGTAAATTAGCTTAACATGTTTTTTGTTTTTGTTTACAGAAAGTACCCACCAGCAACACTGAAGGGGGATGGTCCTTCTCTCTGGCAGAATACGTCCGTCACAACGACATGCCCATCTACGAGGCCTCTGAGCGCATCCTCAGGGCCTTCCAGGATGAACTGATGCCCGCCGAGTCCATGTCAGAGTTCTGCGACGTCGTCGGTCAGTATATAACCACCATCGATTCACCTGAGCACACTTGATTCATATCCTCCAAATAGGAAATATATCTTTTGAAAATTAAACCGATTCTTGTTTTGATTTAACCTCCTCCAGGTCTCCTTTCTGAAATACCAGACCCGGACCTCTTCATGCAGGATTTGTTGAACTCTTTGCCCTGATTCAGCATCAAGTCACACCCCTCAGACACACGTAAAAACAAAAAACAGAAGAGCTGTTTACACACCAGAATACACACAAACACCATGCTTCCTATTCAGCTACCACGCCCATATGACATCTCAAATTAAACTGTATGTGTAGTCTACAAAAATATTAAATAAAAAGAACTCATTCACTTTTGGCAACATCTCTGTAACTGCCTGTCACAACGGAGAGGACGCTGAAGCAGGATTTACTTTTCGCCCCCTGATTCAAACTGCTTCACTCTGATTAAAGATGATTTGATTTGTTTATTAGTGGGTTTGAAGAAAACAAAATGTCAGAGCCCAATGACAGTTTAAGACCTTTTGCGTGTTTTCCACTTAGTCACGAAAACTGAATCTTCACTTGTTTTATGGCGAGCTAACAGAATTAACATCTTCATGTCCAGATGTCGGTGATTTGGATGATAGGATTGAGATGAAACAATTTTGCTTTTTTTTTGTTTTTGTTCTTTTTTTTGAACCCCTCCAATTTTAAGGTAACTAAAATGTTTTTTGTTTCTTTGACCCACCACATTTTTGCCGTGACATTGGATTTAATTTTGTTTTCTTTTTGTTTGTTTG